TGCTATTTTAAACTTCATGAGTAAAAGTACATCACATGCTTACACCTGACCATGTGCAGGTCAGGGCATTAGTGATGTGTGTTGTTCAGTACTGTTACTTGTTTTTAACAACAGTATCCTTCATTTGAGTCCCGTAAATGTTAAAAGGAAGATTTGGGATCAGTTTTAATAATAGAAGAAAACAGACGTACACTAAAAGAACAGTTTCACTGTGCTTGGCAGAAAGTTCAGAACATTTTAGGAAGAGGTCAGAGTGACGTAAGAAAAAAAAAAAAAAATCATAAAGCCAGTTCTACAAAATCTGAGGAACATAATTATAATGAAATGAATGAATCTCAGACTTTTAAATGCCAAAAAGGCAAATAATAAATTATTTTTATCCCTCTAATGTGAAAGACAAACTAGATCTCTCAAAAGGTCTGAGAGCTTTTTTTTGTGTTAAAGAATTTAGATTTTTACAATAAGTCTGCCTGAACATTTGTTTAATTCAAAGCAGGCAGGATTTAGTTTGGCTGTTAGTTTATTTGGATTGTTGGGATGTAAACAAGTGTTTGGTTTTTCTATCAGATGTCCTCGACATTAATGAAAAAACTGAATTGATTCAAAAGCAAGCGATGAAATCTCTGCACTGATGAACCTCACAGTGATCACCTACAGTCACTCATGCTTTACCTGAACATGATGCCCTCAGAGAAGGGGTCCAAACTGTCCACGAGCTCCAGCTCTGCATCACCACCCAGTGTAAGCATCTGGTAGTTTTCCTTCAGCTTGTTTGTGATCATGTTGAATCCAGTCATGAACTCATTGAGGCGCTGTTTGCGCAGGTCCTCGTAGCCACGTTTGAATTTGTCCCTCTCTGTAGTGATCTCATCAAGCTGGGCGACACGCTGCAAGTAAAGCTCCTCCTGAGAACACGAACACGCACAGGCAGATTGAAATTAAAATTAGGCTGTGAGCTCATTTCCGTTTTGATAAATTCTAAACAGAGCTGCTTAAAATAAAGCTATAAATGGACCAAGAGAGTACCACTAAACATGCTCCACACATTGGCTGAACCAGCATTAGATGAGCCAACAGATCCAGAAAAAACAAAATAAAACAGCAGCATTAACAACAGTCACTGAGTTTCAGCAACAGCGAGTTGTTAGGTAGCAGGCTGCCTGTCACGCCTGTGCATACCTTCTTCTTGTACTCTGCGATGGCCCCGAGGTTGGGCTTCATCTGAGCACACTGGGTCTCTAATGTGATCATCTTGTTGATAATGATGTTGGGATCTGAGATTTCATCGAGTTCAGCCGGAGTGAGCACAGGGAGTTCCTCTGCTGGCTTGTCCTCGATGGTATGAAGGGACAGCTTGGAGGCCTGTGGAATAGAAACAATAGTTTTTACTATTTTACACCATCATCCTGTAGAGCAAGCAAAGATACAAATCAAAGGGCCTCCGATATGATTAAAGCATTCACAATTAGAAAATGAAAAAAAAAGTATCAATATAAAACAAAGTGGGTCTGATATCACTGGACTATTTTTGTCCCTTGCTTTAAGTTTGCTGAGTAAATCTTCATTAATGTTATTGTTACAAGAATAAAACTATAGTAGTACATCAATTCACAGCAACACCTTTCCTCTCCCACCTCTTTCTGCCAGTGTTTGATTTTGTTATTTTGTTCGGTAATGGTGGCCTCGATCTGCTCGATGCGGAGCCGGACGCCTAGGGACTCCTCCTGCAGAGCGTGCTCCTGCTGCTGCAGCGCCTTTATCTCCTTCAGCACCCCCTGATACTGCTCCTGCACATCTGGCAATGCAGCCTGGAAGAAACAGAAAAAAAACAACTAACATCAGCCCTTCACACGTTAATTTTTTTTCTTACAAAGTGCAAGTGGGACAGCAAGGTTTTAAAACAACTTGCTAAAAATGTAAAATCCTTCTGAGAAAAAAATCAGTGCAAAAACAACAAAAAAAACAAACTTTTTTTTCTCCTGTGAAGAAATATAAAACAACCAAAGTGGATGAAAAGTTCCAACCTCAGCCTCCTGACAGTCTTTCATGATCTCTCCAGCCTCGTCTTCCAGTTTCTTCAGCTGTTCTGTGAGTTCAGCTATTGACTTCTCATTCTCCTCCAGCTCACGCTGCACACAAGCCACACTCTCCTCAAACTTCTTCAGGTTGCTACAGAGGAAACGGCAACAGTCAGAGTTGGTGACAGACATATGATATTAGAAAGATTACTGCTGATGATCAGTAGTGGATCAAAAACATTACAGAATGACTGCTGAAGAGCTAATATATTTGTCTACACAAGGATCTTACTCTAACCCAGGCCATCATCCTGCCTGCACAGGAGGCCAGCTGTAAATTGAGCAATGTTATAGCAGCAGCTTCATCCGTCTACACTGGATGCGTTAAGACAACTGAAGTAAAGGTCAGCGCCATTCTGGGAACAATTCAAAGCCTGAAACCCAACTGAACGTATGCGCATATAAATATCAAACAAATCAAATAAATCGTGAAGCACAAAAAAAAAAACAAAAAACACCCCACTGAGTACACAAACTGACACAACCAAAGTAATTTAACATTTTATCCACATCATCTCTCTCCTTATCAGTTTGTCGTCAACAGTATTTAAAAAAAACTTAATAAAAAAAATTGTGTATTAGTTATTGTCTGGTAATGAACTACTGTCAGACAAAACACTTGTCTGACAACTCGTTTTAAAAGGCAAATATATATCCCAGGTGTCCTACCTGACTATTCTTTTTGTGCCGTGAGGGTTAAAAAAAAAAAAAAAAAGTGATTTGACACGGCTCATAAATACTACTTGTTAAAACAACAGTAATCCCTGCACTGCTGCACTCTGAGGCCGTCATTCACATTAATATGGCGCATCTGTACAGTCAAATCTCATACTTTGCATATTACAGAGTGAAATTCAAGGTTAGAAACTTGGCTCGGATCTTAGAATAAAATCTACTGTGGTTAGATGCAGTGCTACCCAAACACAGATTCACTTAAACTGCAGTCACAACGGCTTCTAAAAGATTAAAATCTCTTTCATACACAAAGTGTGTAACTGTGGTGGTAGGTTCATTTGTCTAAGTAAATGTTTTTGGCTTTCAGACCTGCTTCCGTGTGTCAGTTCATAAGCTCCCACTTTGTTCGTAATCGACTCAACAGCTTGTCATGCCAGACAAACCACATCACACACAGACCAAGTGTGTGTTTTTGCTACAGCGCGCTGCCAGGCTGTCCTGCCTACATGATCAATCTTAATGTTCCAGCCACAGACACCAAAGACTAGACACCCAACACACTCACCACTGCCACAACACTGATTAATTCAAAGAAACCAATGACAACAACAGGAGACAGGAATTTAGTGACAGAAACCCAATGCTACTTACATGTGATATTAGTATTGAATAGTCGTAAGAAAAAAAGAACAAAGGAAAAACAAACAGTATAGGGTGTCCCCTCTTTAGATAAAAGGGAGAGATACCTGCTCTTTCATTACAAAATAAACTACTCTGAAAAAAAAAAAAAAAATCCCCCAGGTATTTAACCTGTTATGTACGAGCAGAGACTCATACACATGTCAGAATTATAAATAACAGGCTTCACAGTGATTTCACCAGTAGCCACTCGTCTACGATCAGTGGATGCACATGTAAATGAGTTTAAACAAGCATCATTTCCTCACCGGCCAGCTGTCTTTATGGCCACTTGGGCTTTGGTTATGGTAGAGGAGCACTCATCTAGCTCCTTGTTGATCTTGTCAAGCTTGTCCTGCTGAGCTTTAAGCTTGTGGCTGTTGATGTCTACAATCAGATTGTGGAGCCTTTTCACCTCATTTTCCACCTTCCCAGCCTTACTGGATGCTGCCTCGTAGTCTGATTGAACAAAAAGGAACAGCATATAGGAGAAGAAAAAACAAACAAACAAGACAAAGATATTTGTATTAATAGATTTAGAAGGATTCAAGAATTAAATTCATTTATACACAAAAGCTAATCTGGTTATTAAGAGCAATAATGTGACAAGATTTTTTTAAAACAAAATTACACTACCAAGTGATTATATATTTTTTTAAACATCTCAAGAGAGTGAACATTACCATATTTAAATGATTAACAACAGTATTTCTCTTTAGTGTTTACAGGACATTACCTTGTTTGAAGGCCTCCAGGCTCTTTTCCATCTGTTTCTGTTTGGCCTTGTCTGGGGCAGCTGCCAGCACATTGGCTTCAAGTTCCTTGATCTGAAGTTTCAAGTGAGTCTCTTGGTCAGCTAAACTCTGAGAGAAGCAAAGAAAAAGAAATAATTCAGATTTGCAAACACAAAAAATGTTTTAATCAGTCAAAACTGTCCTATTTGATGGCTTACTAATAGCAGGGGTTATTAATTAGATCAAAAACACAGCCAAATGAGTGTGAGAGGAGCAGAATGAATGAAAATTATGTACAGTCATGCTGTTGGTGTATTTTTCCAAGGTGTTCTTCATGTCCCGGAGCTGTGGCCGCAGGCGCTGGATGTTCTCTTCTAGCTGCAGCTTTCTCTCTTGGCATCCCTGCAGCTTCGACACTTTCTGATTTAGCTTGCTCTCCATGCGGTCAAGCTGCAGAAAACAAATGAAAATCATCATGTCCTATACACAAATGCCTAGCTGTGATTATGTTTTCTACTATCCATCACTCCTGGGAAATGTGTATAAAGTAAAATCTCATGGCAAGAATTATTATTTTAAAAGTTCACATCACTCATGTGGATTAAGGAATAGTTATTCACTCTGAAAGGAGACCTTTCAGAGTGAATAACTAAGAACTCCAAGCTCCTGTCTTGAAGTTTTGGTTTGCAATAAACACTAAACAGACAGTCCGACAGATACAGTAGTCTGGTGACTAAAAATGGACTCAAAGATAATGTTTCACTTTAATGACCAGTTAGTTCGAAACCAAGAGAGAGTTTCACACACTTTTAAATGTTTATTGAATTCTCACATTGCATTTTGTGGTGCCCATTATTATTGATACTTGTGCAACTAGTACTGAGAAGCTTAGGCACCATCTGCTCTCATAGTCCAGATGTATCTGTGGACCATTTGGTTGCAGAGGCAAAGATCATGTATGTGTATGCTATGTTCAATTAAAATACAAGTTGTATTAAACATTATAGCTTCAAACAACTTACCTCCACCTGGGAGACTTCAGTGCCAATAGAAGAGCCCATTCTGCCCTTCATGACTCTTCCTCCTCCAGTCATGGTTCCTGTGAAACATCGGAAAATTATTCAAGCTTTTTAAAAAATTTAACCAAATGATCTAATTGAGAGGGTCATAAGTATATATATTTTTTATTGCGAGCAAGATAGACAGAAAAGATAAATCACCCACCCGCCATCTCTATTATCTCTCCCTTCAGGGTGACCACTCTCCAGCGTTTGTCTTTTTGGTAGGCTATCCTTGTGGCCTGCTCCAAGTTTTGGGCCACCAGCGTGTCCCTCAGGGCAAAGTAGAAAGCTGGTCGCACACTGTCATCGTTCACTCGCACCATGTCAAAAAGACGAGGGCTGTCTTCTGGGGTGCGAATGGAAGCCATGCTCTTCTCCCATACTTTCATCTGTGCAAAGGAAGTTTAGATGAATGAGAAGGAGCAGCAAGATATGGAGGCCATCTGAAGGCACAATATTTCACAAAAAATATAACTAAAGTCGTTAAGACTTAAAAAAATTATATATTTCGCCTGACTGAAGTTCTTTAAATCCTTCATATTTACCTTGTCAAGACCAATGAAGGTAGCAACCCCAATGTTCTGTTCTTTTAGGAATGTGACGCATTTCTGAGCCGTGTCAATGGTATCAACTACAATGTTGTCTAGAGCACCACAGCTAGATGAAATGGCCACATCATACTTCTCATCTATGGCTCCCAGATCTCCCTACAGGCATAAATATATTTAGAATCATTAATCAATAGAAACAAGCGAAGGAAAGTTGTTCAGTTCTGCAATTTTTGTATTTTCTTTACCAATCGTCCATAGATGCCGGGGATTCTGCCACTTTTCTTCTGCTGCATGAGGGCATCCAGGACTTTTCCACGACTGCGGTTCGAGGACAGGGAGCTCTTGGCTTCATCTACTTTCTGCCTCAATTCCCTCACCACCTCCCTTGTCTCATTATCAGTCTTCATCAGCTGCTCCAACTCTTCCTCATCCTGCAGAGAAACAGAAGGCAAAAACTCAAAACACATGATGGCTGTAACACAAATTATCCACAAAATGTTATCTAACTGACAGTGCTGATGTTTGGTTCTACCTTCTTTAGCTCCCGTTCTTTTTCAGGTATTTTGACCTCCAGGTCTTTGATGGCGGCACGGCGCTCCCGCAGTGTGTCAGAGGTCGTCTGCAGTGTCTGCTTGGCTGTGTTGAGCTGTGTCAGAGCTGTGTTGTGGCGGCTAAGGTAGATGTCAAGCTCCGACTGAGCGAGGTCCATACGAGAACGGGTCTCATTTACAGCCTTGTTGAGCTCCATGAGCTCCTTTTCTTTTTTCTGGATTATACAAGAAGATTGTTTGTTTTAAAAACAAAGTTTCAGTGAGCACACAACAAAAACCATGATGTATACAGATACCTCTTTGTCCTGCTGCAAGCCGCTGGTCTCTTCCTTCAAACTCTCCATCACATCTTTAAGTTTTTCTTCTTCTTTCACCTTCTGCTGCTCCAGTTCTTCTTTGCGAGCTGTTGCCTCAGAGATGGCCTTTTCACTGCTGGCTGGTATACCACGCACTTCCTCCAGCTGAAAGATGAGCCAGACAGGACAATGTGCAAAAGCATATGAGATGTGTCCAACTCCAAAATCTAAGCAACAGTTGCTAGATTCCCTCCCTCCAGGTTAACTTGACAATATCAGTAGTAAACACTTCTACCACCCACCGAGAAACAGCCGTTTACTTCCTAAATTAGAAAAGATGAAACAAGAGAAGAGTGTGGGAGATAGGAGGTGCAAGTTTGTTGTTTTGGGTTTTTTGACAGCGACAGTTACAAAGAAACTGTGCTACGCATCCAGACACAGGCCAAAACACACAACTGTAATCAACTATAAACACATATTCAGGACTGAGCAAGCTCTGGTTAAGACTGGCACAACAATCTGCCACTTGGCAGGGCTGAAACAAGCCAAGGAGTGGTGCGTGTGTATAGTCTATGTTTTGTAGGGTTAACTGCGGGTGAAATGTGAATGTAGCTGCTGGGAGCGTTACACAAGCCAGGCCATAGTTGACTACCATACAGCAGAACACTGCTCCCCAGAGGTCTGCCTGCCTCTGCCCAGCTCCCCCTCTGACCAAGATGTTTCCAGAGCACAGCCATTGTAGGTGGAGCAGATTGGCTTTTAGAGCAGAGGGAAATGAGAATATTCTGACAGTCATGAGACAACTCTTGGTTACCATACTGTTAAAAAAAACAAAAAACTCTTAAGTTCATGTTTAAGCGACAAAAAAAACGTGAGTCTAAGAGACAGGACGACCGAGAACTGTGAAACAGAGCACACACACTATCAACTTGTGCTACTTCGCAGCCCCCTAGTGGCTACTTTAAGACAGCTAGCCCTTCCGGACTCATATAGGGCTTTATTTTTTTCCTGTGAATAATGTCAGTTAATTTATAAAAATACAGAAACTTGACTTTACCCAAAGAAAGAAGACACACACACACACACACACACACACATATATATATATATATATGTAAAATTAAAGCAAAGCCCCTATACACACACTTGGATACAAAATTATCTTTCAGTATCATATGGCATTTGTGCTTCAGACTAAAAATGTGTCAGAAACATTCAAACACTTGTGTACTAAGTTTCAATATAGAAAGCTTTGCTTTGTGTTGCTATGGCTGTCATACATCCTCTGCCAGCAGTCAGACCTCACTTTGTTCTGTTCACACAAATATGTATCATCCTTAAAAGATGACAGAAAAAAAAAAAAAAACAAAAAACCATAAAAATAAAAGAAATTATTAAAATATACAAACTAAGGCTCGTTTTATATTTTGCATTTAGTATGATTGGTAATCACTCTGTAAGCCCAAGTTTAAAACAACACTGCTGACAACTGTAAAACATGAAGCCGTGTGTACTCGGTGGAAAACTTCTCAGCCTACAAATGATTTTAGTAAATGAAGGACTCAACAAAAATGCTCAAATGTAGTTTCTGTCATATATTTATTTTAAGTAAGTTGCTGTAAAAGGGTTACAAACATTTTTTTCCTCTCTCTGCTTCAAAACTGTAGCCATGGTGTTTATTGACAAGCAAAAGAAAATTTATTTTTAGTGCCCACGTTTCTGTCTTGGCCTTCATACAAATTAAATACAGTAACTCATAGGGTAACCATGCCACTGGTTACTTTGTGTAACCTTGTATTTGCAGATGGATTTGTATGCTAAATATCAATTAAATAAAAAAAAGGGACAAAACTACACCATACTGACAGATTGTGTGTCTGTACCTCTGAATCACATGTGAATGCCCACTGTGATTATCAGAGTGGCTCTAATTACTCTGAAACAATTGTGTAAAAGTTGTCTGCAATTTAAAGTCCAACACACCTTTTCTTTGTCCTTCTCCAGCTGCTTCTGCAGTTTCTTGTTCTTGCTCTTTGAGTGTTTAATCTTCTCACGCACTTCAACATCCTGCAAATCCAGCTGGGTGAACTTCTCCTTCTGGGTTTCAATGTACTTGTTGAGCTTATTTTGTTTCCTGGTGGAGGAATAGCTTTTTTACTGGGTACATTCAAGTCCATCTACTGAAATATTATATAAACTGAAAAAATATACAAAATACATACATACATATACATGCGCTTAATGTATGTATGTATGTAT